CTGCCTCTGCTGTGGAATTTGCGGCAGCTGCAGCAGTAACATGATCATTTTCGAGGCCACCATGCTCACTCATAACGGATTCACGTCTTGACGGAGAACTTGAACTATCTGATTCTCCTTCCACTGCTGGCTCGTCCAGTGAGTTTTGGTTGGCCACCTCGCTGAAAGTAGTACAAAAATGAATACGCATGAAAATGAAGTCGCAGACTGAATGTGTAATATCCATCAAACTGAGGCAGATAGAGAAGAATGTAATTGAATTGTCACATCGTGAACCTCTAATGTTACAAGCTACGATCGAATCATTCGACCATCCACCAACTTACATCCTACTACATATAACGCGCTAGGTGTGTCGGTGTGTTTGTCTGTGTGTGTGTGTGTGTGTCGGTGTGTGTGTCTGACCGGAAATTCATTACTCCTGTCCACGTGGACCTAGAGCGTTCAAACTTGGTAGGAGAACGGGGGGCAGGATGGGAACACTTATAATGGGTGGCAGGACCTGACTCCGCTCACAGGGGCGGGGCTTGCAGAGAAATGTCAAAATGAACCTAGAACGAACGAAGAACATTATGAACCACAAAAACCAGAGGAATCCAACAAAAAATGTAGAAGAAAGAAATAAAAGATAATGGCAGAAGACTTACATCAAGTGCAAGCCAGTGGTCTTGTAGAACTATAAGGACGTTTCTAAGACGTGCAGCCCGCCGATCGAGGAATGCCACCTAAAATAAGACTTCCATCGGAAGCATCGCATTTGAAAATCTAATGACTTACGGCTCTGCCATAATGTTCAGCGCATATGCGCTTGCGCCGAGCCGGGCATTCCTTGAGCACGGTCCGCGCACGAGCCAATTCTACTGAGCATTGCTCCAAGAGCACGCTCAGTAGAATAATTAGACTCGTGCGCGACTGTGCTCGAACGAACGAATGTTCTTCTCCACGCCCACCACACAAGGAGCATATCTTCATGACACCTGCAGAGAATCGTTCCAGTTATTCAAAAAATTGCTACGCTAGAAATTGGTAAAAGTCAAAGGTGGTAAACAGTTCTGCTTTCTGGGAGTTGATTTGGCGGTAGAGGCACCAAGGACTGAATGTCTCTTCTTCATAACATCCTCTTTCATACAGCCCTTATCATTCCTCCGTGCTCCAGCGTATTTCTAATGTCCTTCACGCTCTCCAACCCACAGGTGTCAGCCGCCTTTTGCAGCTCTGCGTAGTATTCGTAGCAATGTCTGGCTCACATTCTGCGTCCTGGACATTAATCCAAATCTTTTCGCCATCAGCAATTCCTTCGGCATAATTGTTGCTCCATTGCTGCTTTCAGTTCCATTAAAGGCACAGTTCACGATAATTTTGGGTAATCCATATTATGACGAAAAATGGAAGATAAGATGGAAAACAGGGCGATGAAGGCAAATGAATTGCGTGAAAGGTGTTCCCAAAAAGAAAAGTCTGCGAAATATCGTAAAAAGGGAACTGGACAAGAATGAGACCAAAAGAATGAAGAGGACTGCGGCGTTTGGACGAGCTATACAATGTGGGTCATCGCATACGTGTGGGTCCTGGTGCAACTAACTGACTACGGTAAGCAAAAATTCCTTCACTTATAAGCATAAGTAAACAAAAAAATCCTAATGAGAGGAAAAAAGCACACCTTCTTCAGCCTCTTGGGGTATAGAGATTCCTTTATACACAGCGTAGCATGTGTTATCAAGAACGACTTAGGACTGATTGTTATTTAGGATAGTTCAAAATGATCTGGTGTTTATCATGTTCTCGTATCATTCAGCATTAAAGAGCCACAGAGTGAAGTGAGGTCCATTCCTCCTATAAGTACATCGTCCACTTCCTCCGGCTCCTGTTCGTCGTGTCGTCAATTCAATAAAGCTAGAAGAAGTCACTCGTGGCAACAGAACACATACAAGACCCGGAGTTATCATATGGTGCATCGGCCGATATACGCTCAGGAACGAAGAAATAAAGACTAGTGAGTGAACCATTGAAAATTTAAGATCCCCTTTCCTTTCTCTTTCTTTCGACATTGAAGATGAGTTCTCTGATCGCTTTAAGACAAGGTGTTCTGACGAGAGCACAAAACCGTCTCGCAGGCATACTAGAGACACACACTGGTCTCCTCAGCTTCAGCCAGGAAACCCGCGACATCATGGAAATGCAAAAGCTGATCAAGAAGACGAAAGCATCGACCCTACTGGAGATGCAGAAGGTCGAAGAAGCGATACTGAAGGATCCGACGTCCTCTTAGCGTCGGATATATAGCAGGATATACCTAGGTTTGAACACCCTTACCGTTACACGGTAAGCGTGTTCAAACTTAGGTATATCCTGCTTCTTACATTTCTGTTATCTAGTTGGGGATTATCGATTCCCAGTAATCGCGTCACATGTTTATATTTCAGACGCTTTGTTTCAGAGAGTCGGAGAGCCGATCGAATGGGCGGAGCGGAAGGCGAGGATTCCGATGGGGATTCGAACACGGGAGTCGCGCCAGGAACGGTCGAGAGACCGTCGGTACACCCTCCTCTCTCTCACTCTCTTCGACCCGTTGATCTCTCTCCGGAGTCCAAATAACTGCTGCGACAGTCTTGGTTGAGCACGAGCCTTCTTTGTATTGACAGCCGTGCAATGGTCCAATAGGGCTTTCAATAACAGGAGAACCGTGATAAGCGAATACAGTAGTCTGAAAGATGATACAGTTAGCTACTGTTACAGAGTGCTCTGTGCAGAATTCACCTCCAAAGTAGCATAAGAATGGAAAGGGATAGAGTCATATAAGTTCTCCCACAGTTCAGTCCTATGCTGCCGCATAAATGCGTGACTAGGAGTGAATTCAAGTGAAACAAACTGAAGACAGTTATATGAAAGCAATACACAGAATGAATTTCAAAAGGAGCAACAAAAATCAAAAAAACAAAAGTAAGAAACAAAGTTGCATTAAATGTGGATTAAACCTCATCACAAATGTTTCCCAATATCCACTGCTGTGGTATCTCGTACTGTCTTTTTCAATTTGTAAAAGTAACTAACGCGATAAAGCTCTGCGATT